TTCATTTTAATAAATCATTTCTTTTGTTGTAAAGTGCATTACAATGTAAATGAATAAATAATAAATAAATTACATGAAAATAGCAGCAGGAATGATGCTGTGAAGTTACTTAGAAGTATATTAATTTTTTTGTTTTCATGATATCAAAGTAGTATAAAATAAAAGTGACTTGCATCATAGCATGTATTTCTGACCAAAGCATGTTAGGAAACATTAAACCTTTTAGAGGGGCTCTGAAGAAATAAATTACCACCAGAAGAAAAAACACAGAAGCATGTTAATTGCCTCAATTTTGCAGGTTATTTCTTTGAAAATGTAATCGATTAATTTGTTAAGCCTGAAAGTTAAATAGTTGCACATTATGTGGTAAAAACCAAATTTAATGTTAGATAAAAATAGATTGAAGTGGTTTGTACTTAGTAGAGGAAAAATTGGGATATTTTTATGGAAAAAAGGAATGCAATTTCCTGTCATTGATAAGGTATATTTCAATATGTCAGTAAGGGAGGTATTTTTATATCCCCATTTTACAGATAAGAAAAAAATGTAGGAAATTTTAATAACTTTCCTAAGGTTATAACTATAGAAAGATTAACATTGGACATAAAATGGTAATCACATATGAGAGGAAGACTGTGTAACTGTGAATGGCTACCCTTGATGTAGTCCAAGAGGAGCTCTGAGTAGAGCCCCCAGAGAGCATAGCACCCAGAAGATGCTTTACAACAGTAGGAGATATCCAGAGGGGTCCTGGAACAATATCTTCCTCTATCTCACATGACGCTCTTATTGGATTTTGGCTTATTTTTCTGCTTTAGCTGTTCTGGTTTCACTGATAAATCGAGTTTGATTTCATCAGTTTCTGTATCACTGAGATAGTGCTGCAAGGATGCCATTACGTGCTGCTAAGTTGAATTTGACATTCACCAAATTATTGCTTGGATGAATAACTGATGGATATGTTATATTGATATTTTAACTTGTATTACTATAGGATAGCGGAAGGAATGCACATATGGACCTGTGTGTTATTTGGGTAAGATTTTAAGTTCACTTTCCGAGATAGAATTGAGGTTAAAGCAGGAACAATCAAAATGCATAGAGGTTCTAATTCTAATTAACAAATATCTAACATATACCACAGCTTCTGTTTTGTAAGTAATCTCCAACACTGCAACTAAAGATACCAATTTGAACACCATTTAATGTTACCACAGAATAATGTTTTCTTTATTTTTGTCAAGAAGTCAAATTATAAGCGATTTTAAATACAGTCAAACCTCGGATCTCAAATGTCTCCCATATTGAACAATTCGGTTCTTTCTTGCCCAATATGTTCATGGAGATGGACAGGGATGTTTTGCTTGTCAAACAAAACTTTGGTTCTGGACCCTGCAACCCTTTCCTACTGATACCTGTATGATCAGTCATGCCTCTCTCAGATGAAAACAAAGGAGAAAACATGCAAGTATTACTTTTCTCACATTGTTAACATCTCAGGAAATTGTGCTGTGAATATTTTTGTGTTTTTTATTTTGTTGTTGCTTATTATTATTAAATACATACAGTAAGAAGGTTAGTGATAGTAGCAAAGTGAAAAGGAAAGTTGAGAGAACAATGATAGAGCTTAGACATGTACTATATATAAGAAAGGTTAAAACAGAGAATCATTTGTGGGTCTGGCTTTTTAAAAAAATTTATCCTTCATATTAATCCTTTGTAGCCTTTTTTACATCAACTAAAACTATTTTATTATTTTCACTTTTGTATGAGTTTTCAGAGGAAATCCTGCAGTGTATAATCTCTTACTCAACTGGATTAAATTAGAAATCCACAGCAAAATTTCTAGAAATTATCCCAGCAAATAACTACTAAATATTTTAGTGACAAAATAAAACATCACATAGAAAAATTCAAAATTATTTTGAACCTAATCATATGAAACATATGTTATATACTTGACATTATTTAAGGAGAATAATTTATTAACACATTTTATAAACCATGAACTTGGAAACTAATTTTTCTGAATGGTAATTGTAACTCCTAGTTCTACTGTTTTTACTTTCTTAATGTATCATATTTGGTTAATGTGTAAGTAGAAATCTTCTTATTGACATTTGAAATGAATAATTCTTTGTTGTGAAGCTGTCCTATGCATTATAAGGTGTTCAGCAACTTCCCTGGTTTTTACCTTAGTAGCAACCACACTCCCAGTCATGACACTCAAAAACCACTGCAGACATTATTCTCTGGACTGAGAACCACAGAGTTAGATTTCTAAATCTAAAACTTTTTTAAGAATATATTTTTATTGATTTTAGAGAGGAAGGGAGAGGGAGAGAGTGAAATAGAAACATCAATGATGAGAGAGAACCATTGATCAGTTGCCTCCTGTACACCCCGTAATGGGGATCAAGCCCATAACCTGGGCATGTGCCCTTGACCATAATTAAACCTGGGAGCCTTCAGTCTGCAGGCCGGCGCTCTATCCATTGAGCCAAACCAGCTAGGGCTCTAAATCTAACACTTAACTTTGTTTCCATTGGAGTTTAGTTAACCATTCTAGGCTTTTATAAGTATGCTGATATCTTGTTATATCTTGTTAAACTCATCAACTAACATGATATCTGTAAAGTTTACTTTAATCTTCTGGTTTATAATCTTGCTTATATGAATTTAGCATAATAATTAAAATGTGTCAACCTCCATTTATTTCCCATTAATCAGAAAAGGAGGTGAGGATTAAGCACTCTATTTTATTGTGTCAAAGAGTCTACTCTCTCATCTGTCACTATCTGAGTGCCATAAACAAAACATTTACCACATTTGATATGCAGAGTTCTCCATTGTGACATGAGAAAATATAATGTCCTTAATGACTTCAATATGCAAAATATGAAGTCCTTTAGAAATTATAATAATCAATAATTTTAAGAAATCTTCCTTAAATTATTTATAATCTCTATAAGAAAGAATTAAAAACATATTTAATGATTTCTTATTGAATATAGCCTTTAGGGAGAGAACTGAATAAGATATTAAGTAATTCTAATTCAGATCTAGAAATAAGATGATCCTTCTTAAGCAGAAATTTAAATTGATGTTGAGAAGGCATAAGATATTGCACATCAAGATATTGCACAACCTGCCCGGCCCAAGTGGCTCAGTGGTTAAGCGTAGACCCTTGAACCAGGAGGTCACGGTTCGATTCCCAGTCAAGGCCCATGCCAGGGTTGGGGGCTTGATACCCAGTGTGGGGTGTGCAGGAAATGGCCAATCAATGATTCTTTGAATCATCAATGATTCTCGCTCATCATTGATGTTTCTATCTCTCTCTCACACTCTCTCTTAAATCAATAAAATACACTTAAAACAGATATTGCACAACTTTAAATAGTATAATAGTCTATGTACCTCATAAAAATTTACATTTATTATTCATACTAGCCTTTAGAGATTCTCATTCAACCATTAACTACATAGTAGTTAAGTATATATACCCAAGTCAGTACTTTAATGAGTATCCAATATAATCACAATTTTTTTTTCTCCCAAGAAGCTAGTTTAGTCTAGTTTAGGAGGCTCAGGATACAATGAAAGATAGTAAATGGACAAGGCACAGTCAATAATTTCTATGAGAGTGAAAAGGTAGTCTGAAGCAATTACAACTCTAGGAATTAAAACTCTGCTTAATGAAACATGTAGCTTCTGATGACCTTAAAAATATAGTAGGGCTTGTATCATTTAAAAGGGTAGGAGTAGATGTCCTAAACAAGGCACATAGCAGGAACAAGGCTAAGCTTGAAATCTTTGGCATTCATGAGATAACTGTCCTAGCAAGCAGCCAGGTGTTGTTGGGGAAAATGATTTGCAGCGAGATTAGAGAGGCCTCTAATGCCAGATGGAAGAATTTTAACTTTATACACAGTGGATTAGTATCATTTTTTTAGAATTACATCATACAAGTATTTTGCAACATGGAGTAAAATAAATTTCAAATGGGAATTGGAAAAGAAAACCAGAATGATATTTCTATCAACATTCCTTTTAATATGAGACAATATCACAGATTGACTCAATGCATCCGTTAATTGGTGAGTTTCTATAAGCACTGCTTTTAACATAGATTTCCAAATTTCTACTTTTTCTCATTCTAATTCACATAAGGTATTCCACTGTATAAAATTCATTTTTGTCCTACAAATACAGTTATGAAAAAGCCTATTTTCTGTACATATACTTTTTATATTTAGAAAATATATTAGAATATATATTCAAACCGATTATTTTTTCCTGACTCTTGCAGACATATTACACTATTTGTAACATATGAGGGAAAATATGTTATTTGGTAAGTTTTCTGATGATTTTAATCAGCCATATGACTACTCTAGTGGAAAATGGCTTAGATAAACATAAGGAGCTTTGTAGCTTCTGTCCAGCACATGTCACCTAAAATTTCTGAGCAAACCTATTAGGGAAAAAATTCCATAAAATGGAAAACTGTACTCTAAGGTCAACCCCACCACCATCTTGCCTTTGGTTTCCCTGAGCAGGTGTGTGGTTCTTTATGTTATCGGGTACCACTGTTCCCATGCTTAAGAGAGTGAAAAGATACATTTCTACTCTTTTCTAAACCAATGAACATTAAGAACTTTCAGGTTAAAAGGCATGCTCACAGTAATTTTATTTCTCAAGCTACACATCTATTTCCATACAAACTCTGTCTTAGATTGCTAAAGTGCTCTGTGGTATTTTGGAAACTTTATCAGAAAATATTTTCCATAAAAGTTCTTTGATGATCTCTTTCAGGCATGCTGATGCAAGGAATTGAAATTCACTACATAGTAAAACACAAAATCAGCTAAAGTACAAAAAGAATAAATATTTAAAATGTTCCTGTGCTTTTAATGAAGTCTACACCAAGCACCCAGCAAAGCTCAGCAAAACAAAACAAACAAAACAAAATAAGAACAATTACAACAATGGCCACTTACCCATATTTTGCAAAATTTGCCCAGTGTTTCATTATGGATCTACTCAAAATTTCTTCAGATTTTGTGTAATTTACTCTTCTTTCCAGAGGTAAACCAAAGACAAATTCAATTTCATAACCATGCATCACTCCCATCCATTCAGGCCAAGGAAGTTTGGAGGATCGGTGTTCAAAATAGTAGAAAAAGGCATTATTTCCCAAATCTGAGAACTTTTTGGTGAACTCCAAGGCAGGGCATATGAAATTGTAATCCCCAACAACATCATCCAAGGCCTCACGGTACTTTTCAGCTCTTTGATCATCTAACCAGTCCATGTAATGGAAAAGGATGGATTCCCTTCCAAATTCACTCACTCCTCGAAAAAATATTTTTAAACTTTCTTGAAATTCTTTTCTAGTGATGATACTGTTGTTATCTTTGCTGAAACCAGGGGCACCATATACTAAAAACGCTGTGCCTTCATCTTTATTAACACCCACCAAGATCTGGGTTTTTTTGAACTGTCCAAGTTGGAGTAGTGTGTCTGGCATGTCAGTGAGAAAATCACCATCCACAGTTGGGCCAAAACTTACTGACAAGAGAGTATCATAGGGGACAACAAATACTTCATTCAGAAGAATTTCCTGGGGGTCTTTATTTCGAAGGCATTTGATGATCTCCGTCTCATTTTCTCTAAAGCAACCAATAAATTTAGCTAAGGTCAATGTTCTGTTCTTAGCTTCATCAAGAGATGTTACTGCCCAAGGGGCATTAGCAGACCCACTTTGCAGAATTGCTCTGGTAAACAATGGGTGGCTTCTAGGGGAAAGTAGGTGAAGGCTAACTGAAGCTGCCCCTGCACTTTCTCCGAAGAGAGTTACACTTTTAGGATTTCCACCAAAGGCTGCTATATTTTTTTGGACCCAGTGAAGTGCCAACTGTTGGTCAAACAAGCCCATGTTCCCTGGTGCCTCTGAATTTCCTGGTAAAGCTAAAAATCCTAGGGCACCCACCCTATAGTTCATTGAAACTACAATAACTCTCTCAACTCGTGCCAGGAACTTGCCATCATAAACAGGTAACGATGATGTTCCAGTTTGAAAACCACCCCCGTAAATCCATACCATTACAGTAGCATTTTTTGGTTTAGGTACTGGAATCCATACATTCAGATATAAACAGTCTTCACTGAGGTCAGTATTTGGATTCCACATCTCGGATCCAAGGAAGCCTGGAAAACTTTGATCTGTGTTCTGATAGCAAGAATTTGCATATTTTGTGGCATTCCAAATATTGGACCACTTGGCCAAGGATTGTGGCTTTTTGAACCGAAGTCTACCAAGAGGTGGCTGTGCATAGGGAATTCCAAGAAAGGCTGTTACTGTGCCCCCAAGAACTGACAAGTTCATCCCTCTGACTTTACCATTCTTGGTTGTAATGATGATGTCTTCTTCAGTGTGTGATTTCCCAATAAGCATCCAGAGCAGAAGAAACATAAAAAGAAGTTGGGTGCATACGATTGTACCCTTGCTCTGCATATTGGTTTCTGAAAGAGAGGTAAGTAGGAAGTTTTAACAGCCTTATGCATCTGGCATTATGTTTTATTGATAATAACAAACTAAAATGTAGTGCTTCTAATTAATCATACAAATGATGAAAACTAATAAATCTTGGACCACTACAAAGGTTTATGTAAAAAAAAAAACAGATAGGAAACAGTTGGAAATATTTTAGTTTTCAATTTCAAAAACAAATAGTGGAATGAAAAGCAGACACTATTTCATTTTGAAAAATTCATTATAAAACTTTTGCAAGGAAGATTTAGTATTTTATAGGGGATATTTATTTCAAGCATGTATATATACTTCTTACCATACATAGCCCCACCATAAGTGGCATTTAGCGGTAGTCTATTTATTACAGATAAAATTTCTACCTTGGTTAGAGGAGAAAATACAAGCCCATGTATTCTCTGAAATATGTACATGCTGGCTGGTTCTTGACAGAAATGTGGATTAGGTTAAGAAGCTTTAAGGAACCTTAGTCTTTTATTGTCTTTTTTCAGTTTCCATGATCCCTTCTGTGGTCTTTTTTGCTTAGTGGGTTCTTCCTCCATTCAATCTCAGTCTATGCTCAGAAGAGATTTTGGACAATCTATTCATTGCCTGTTAAGTAACATAAAATAGTTGCCTTTTATCCTATATAGTATGAAAACTAACAAATCTGTTATCATTATAAGACCTATATAAGAAAAATTGGAAGTAGAGTTCTATGTATATACTAGAGGCCTGGTGCACGAATTCATGCACCAGTAGGGTCCCTCAGCCTGGCCTGTGGGATTGGGCTGAAACCGGATCTCTGACATCCCCCGAGGAGTCCCGGATTGTGAGAGGGCAGAGGCCAGGCTGAGGGACCCCACCAGCACATGATCAGGGTTGGGGAGGGACACAGGAGGTTGGCCAGCTGGGGAGGGGCCGTGGGAGGTCTCCAGGGCATGTCCGGCCCGTCTTGCTCAGTCCCGATCAGCCAAACCCCAGTAGCAAGCTAACCTACTAGTCGGAGCGTCTGCCCCCTGGTGGTCAGTGCACATCATAGTGACCGGGCGACTATCTGCCCTCTGGTGATCAGTGCACATCATAGCGAGTGGTTGAGTGGCCTTAGCATATCATTAGCGTATTACAAAATGCTTTGATTGGTTGAACAGATGACCAGACGACCAGACACTTAGCATATTAGGCTTTTATTATATAGGATACCAGTTAATTTCTCTGAAATTATATAATCAGGAGGTCTTCTCTACCTGAATTATAATGTCAATGGAGAGAACCAGTTGCTAATATAGCACATGGGAGAAGATGCTGATTTAGAAAAAATTTTATACTCAGGGATTATTCAATATCTGTTAATTTGATTTATTAAAGTATGTGCGACTAGTGAGGTTAAATGTGTTAGCATGGTCAATATAAGCCTAATTCACCTTCATGTTACCTATTGGAGAGTGTTACATACAATATTCTTAAATCTAAATTTTAATACTAAAATATGCATTTGTCCACATACTTATTGTTAGTATAAGCAAATATTTTTATATATAGCTGCAGTAATTTATTTAAATAAGCATTATTTTGTCCTTTTCATAATCTGTTATTCTCAAACTTAACTTGTTGCTCTGTAGTTTTACCATTAAGAGATGTTTATATTTTTAATATATGCCATCACATGATTAAACATTCTAAAGAGAAATAATTGAAGGTGGCTATGAAAATGTTAGTCTATATCTCTAAATCCTTATTAATAATTAAAATATTCAATAAGACACAATTGTTCTCTTATTAATTCTGGTACAAATTGACTACTATCACATTATATAAATACTTTGAACATTAAGAATACTTAACATGTTTATCATAAAAACTGGTGTGAATTTTCATCTAAGTACAACTAATTATCTGAATTTAGATCAGTTAACTTATTGTAATAATGTATAACATTTGAAAGAAAGGCAGAAATTATTGTTTGGAACTACAAAAGGAAATGAATGATGGGAGTGAGAAAATCTGAAAGATAAGTACCATAGTATTCAAAGTTTATAAAATGCTCCAGGATATAAAAATCTACTGGAAATTTTGAGAAAACATTATAAACTTTTAAAAATATAACTTTCAAAATAAAAAAGGTAAAAAGACATTTCCTTCATTTTGCATTTTTATTTCAATTTTAAAAGTAGTATCAGAATTCCTTGACCAATTTTCAAAAGAAAATTGTAATGTTACAGTAGAAGATATGGGTGTTAGAAAATGATTGCTATAAAGAGCAATATATACCCACATATGTTCCATAATTGAGTATCAACCAAATTTTCAAAATAATTGGCCTGAAAGGACTTCTTAAAGAATGGTCAAGCAAATATTGGTAATAGTTTTTTCTGAGTATAATTTTCCAGTATTTTAAATAGTTATAATAGAATATATATTTCTTTATAAAAATTATAGCTCTTAAAATAGTGGTAAAACAGCTACTTGGATAATATGATCTAGCACATACACTGTTAAAGTGAATTTGGTCAAGTTAAAACAACTAAGCCTTTATACCAAACCTAGAAAGCTTGTTTTGTTGCAGGCTAAGTGAAGTGGGGAACTGAGGCAGTCTATTTATAAATAGACTATACCACTGTCTTTCAGAGATTCTTCAGATACACATGAGGTACTAAAAGGATGTATGCAGATAGAAGAATCTTTATTAGGTGTCAGCAACATAAGATCTGTATCCTCAGCGGGAAGAACATTCACAAACTTTTCATTATGTAAATAATTTGAACGTTTAATATTAGAGAGATATCTTGAGTCTCTTTGAAAGGTGAATTTGTTTTTAGGTTGACATCTATTCAATTATAATTCTCTTACAATTAAAGAAGCAGGGCATTATAAACAAACAGTAACAACAAATCTAGGAGAATGAAACAGAACTTTGTAAATCTGATTAGAAAATTTATTTGGCATCCAAAAGGCCATGTTACTTCAAATTCACAGAGATTCTAAATATTTTTATTTAAAGGATAAAGCCACTCTCTAAAAGTTCATGCTCATCCTTAAAAAAGGTAACTATTTATACAGGTGAACTACAGTTTATATTATGGAAGGAGGCATTACACAGGCTAGTAATAGTAGCTCCAAATTGAGCTTATTATCATGCATTATATTCATAAGCATTTTAAAGGTATACTCTAAAATCTGAAAAATAATAATACAAATAGAACTCATAAACAATGAAATATTTTTTCACATTTAGTTTGTTTTTAATCATTCATACAATTTATACTTAATGCTTAATCTTCTGGTGAAAAAAGTACTGACATCATCAAAATCAAGGTAAGTTTACAAGATTAGAATATGGCCAGAGTCTGTATTTGCTTATAGTCTCTATAATAATAAAAATCATAGTAAATGTAAAATATTTTGCTATAATTTACACACATATTGAAAGAGGACAAACAAGAAAAAGGGGGCACATTTTGTAAATCAAATTAGGAAATAGATTTTCCTTTTAGATATATGAAACTTAGACCTTTCCTTTGCCATTTGACACTGTTAAAGTTTCAGATGGTAAAGTGTTGATTAAGAAAAGTACCCTGTCATGCCAGACAATAAGAGAACTATTCTTTTCATGCAACTTAGAAAAATAGAGTAAAACTAGTCTAAGACCACCTTTTTAAACTATTTTAAGGAGAAATTCACTAAACAGGGTATTTAAGGGTAAAATAGTGTAAACCATTTTTGCTCGGGGAGGGCAGTAAGAACCTACACAACAATGATTCCACAAGTGCTACGGTTCTTTACACAAAGTTAAACAAACTCACTGTTTCCTCAGCAGTTAAATGGACTCAGCCTATGTTCCCTGAATAATAGAAGGATGTGATGCAGGTGCCTGCTCACTTGCCTCATCTGTGTTTTTCCAATGACTGTCCCCCCACAGAGCACCAAAGGGGCACAGCAAACACGTGAAGGGATCAGGATCCTGCTACAGAATGAGTTTCACAGAAACTTGCATCTCTCTACAAAGATGTAAATTCAGAGCAACTTACCCGACTCACTGCAACAAAAGATGATAAAGTTTGCAAGGCGTGGAAATCATGTGTTACTTCAGGGAAATGCAGTATGCAGCTGCTGCTCCAGCCTGTAAATTGGACTGCACTGACATTACAATCAACTGCTACTGACAAAGCTCGCGAGACTTGGCAGCAGCTACTAGCTCTGGAAGCAGCCAATCTTTACTTTCTGACATCTGTTCAGAGGCTAATGGTATGAATGCAATCGTGATCCATTTACAAAAATATTACCGGAATCATGGCTTAAGATTGCAGGCACTCATCTAAGACGGAAGAAGTAAAGAAATAGAAGCTTCTTTAAAAGAAGCTGAAATTGAACAGAAAATGAGCGTGTGAGCATGTGTGTGTGTGTTTTTTAACACTATCCAAACTTTTAAAGATTTGTTTCCCTCTTTTATAGATTATATATTGGTGTGTGTATGTGTGTGTGTGTGTGTGTGTTTTTAACACTACCCAAACTTTTAAAGATTTGTTTCCCACTTTTATAGATTATATATTTTTTCTTATGCTCAGTTTAAGATTTAAAGATGAACATGTTGTTCTAAAAAACGCTGTTATTGAAATCTCTGTACCTTCAATCTGTGCCAATCATAAAAGAATGTAAAAGATAAATTAGGAAACAATTACTGGGCAGGTAAAGATATGAAAACAGAAAGATTAGCTACATTAACTGAATGAATGTCTCTTATATGTATGTCCTTTCAACCCTCACACCTCAACACTTATTTAAGTCTCAGTAATTTTCTTTTCAGGGGCTCTGCAGGCAGTCACATGTATTAAGAAGCCAGGATTTTCTGGTCAAGACAAGAAAAATACCAGAAACAATGTTCCAAACTCTATGGAAAAGACACACTTATCACCTGGAAGTGTGCAAGTTCTTGAGAATGTGTTTATGTCTTTCAGGCTTATTTTTCTCAAATTAGAACTTTGGAAGAATGAAAAACAAATTAATGGTTTAATGCCTGACTTTCCAATGCAGTTACATTCTTTATATTTTGCAAATACTAAATGCTTTAGCTTTTAATTTTCTCACTCATTCTTGGCTCACTATGGAGTAACCAGCAGACAGTAATTGTAGGTAAGCCCATTTTTGTTTTTTAATATTTTTAAGATTTCAAACATGCAATATAAGAACTGTCATGTTATTGATTCTACCTTATGCCAGTCATTGTAATTGACAGTCTCCATAAATATTTTACTCCAACAAATATATGTGTTAAATATTATTAACCACAACATTAGTTGATGAAGCTCAGAATTATAAAGATCAGAAACTTGCTATATATCTTTTCAATAGAAGCTGTTAGAATCAGAATGTTAACCTAGATTTGTCTGATGTTATTTCACGTTAACTGTTTCCAAGATAACATCCATCTTGATCTCAAAGATATCTATTTGGGGAAAATTGTTTCTTAAGAGATATCTGTTAGATAATACACTTCACACTTCACAATCATAATAATTTGTAATGTATTTGGAATATAGTTGATGAAATGACAACCTAGTTATACAAAAGTTGCAGAATACATGGTCCAAAGAAGGAAAAAAAAATTAAATAGTACACTGACAATTACGCAATGTTTTGTAAAGAGATGGCATTTTTGTTTAAAAAGTAGTCGTTCTTTTTTAAAAAAAATATGTTTTTATTGATTTCAGAGAGGAAGAGAGATAGAAACATCAATGATGAGAGAGAATCATTGGTCGGCTGCCTTCTGCATGACCCCTAATGGGGATTGAGCCTGCAACCCAGGCATGTGCCCTGACCAAGAATAGAACTGTGACCTCCTGGCCCTTAGGTCCGTGCTCAACCACTGAGCCACACTGGCAAATGCAGTCATTCTTATGCCCACATGAAAAAAATATTCATTCATTTAATATATGTGATTTTTTATCCAAATGTAAAAATTACTCTCTCCAACACAGCTCCACTGCACTGATTTTTGGGTTAACATGTGATTGGTCTTTGTCTCAAATTCTGCAATTGTTGAGGGATGTTTTAGATGTTAGCGAATTCAACAGAGTATTTGGTATGCTCCTATTCCTAATATCCACTCACTACTGTGTAAAGTACATCACATATATACACATATTTTATTTTAAACTAGAAGCTAAACAATAATCTGTTATAAGCAGATTTTTATTTTTAACACACTTCAACTGGATAACGTCAACTGGTTACAACACCTGACAATTTTTCCTCTGCTCAAGTTTTGCTTGGCTACTGTCCTTTTAGTTCATTTTCTCCCATGATTTTTTTTGGCCGTGCCACATTCTATGATGCTTTATTTCAGTGCATTATTTCTTTGTCTTATTTGAGGGTTTCTTTTTTTGTGGCTGAACATACATCTGCTGTTTGCTTCTGTCCGATGTCATCATTTTTGCACTCATATCCAGCAGGAGGATGTAGATCACAGGCCGTGGGCCTCATTTCAGGGTTAGTAGACAAGTGTTACCTGACAGCCTGATGGTTAGATGATCATGCTGTTAGATGTTGAGTATGCCTTGTGAGTGACACTGCTGAAACCACACCGCTCAACACTGATTTAGCTCTGCTCACATTTTGCAACAAAAAATATTGAAGTTTAGGCAAGACAACCATGATGGTCTTGACCATGATTAGTTCCAGTTAGCCTATTGCAGAGACTTTTTGCTTTTAATGTTTAGTGTAACTTAATTACCACTGAACTAGTTGTTTTCTCAATAGTAGCATTCAAGGGAATTTGAGACGATGTAGGAAATAATAATTTGTAGTATATATTAGTCTTCCTTAGACACACTGATGCCACAAAAATGCGCTAATATTTTATTAGTAGACTTTTACAAGAGAGCAATGCCTTCTTTAAAGAAAAAATGAATTACCAAAAAGGATGTTCCTACATTTTACATGTCACAGAGATAAAAATGATCATATGATATATTTTATTCTAGTTTTTAAATATATGTACATTGTTATAGTTACAGAGATATATGTAGCAATAATCAAATAGGTTATCATAATTTTGTTTCCTGTTTTCAGTGTATTTCATATTAATTTTATTTAAAATTTTTTAATGATTTAATGATATATTATCAGTGAATTTGCACCATTTTTTACTTATAGGATGACAATCATAATTTTAACTACTTTGTGAACATGCTGTTCTAAACTCATTGAATATATATATATGTATATATATATTCATGTCATATATAAACTCATGAATATATATTCATATTAATGTCTTTATTGATTTTTCAGAGAGAAGGGGAAGGAGAGGGGGGGAGAGATAGAAACATCAATGAGAGAGAAACATTGATCAACTGCCTCCTGCATGTGCCCTGACCAGGAACCGCATCAGTGACCTCTTGGTGCATAGGACGATGTTCAACCACTAAGCAACACCAGCCAGGAGAAACTCTTTGAATATATTTTAATATATTAACTTATTTAAAACTCAAAACTACCTTTTAAGTAAGTGCTATTGTGATTCTTATTTTATGGTTGCGGATATTTAGCCACAAAGGGTTTAAGTAACTTGTGAAAAATCACACAGGTAATAAAACTATCTTCTAATATAATTTTATGGAAACACTATTACAATTGGCCTTATGGTATATGGATATTTAAGTGCAACTTTTTCTTATTTGCTTAATGTGATTTTCCACAATAACTCAGTATGTCTAGTACAAAATAGTGTGGGGTTTCTGCAGTCTTCTAAGACCTCTCAAAACTGTCAAATAATCATAGATTTTCAACAATTCCTGCAAAAAGAGACAATGCTCTTAATCAGAGTAAATCTGAATAAATCTCTGGAGTCAAGAGACCAGATAGTCACACGTAGATGTGGCAGGTTTTAAGGTGGATTTCTTGACAGATTTTTACAGGTGAGCCCAGCTCTGCAGGCAATACAATTGTGTTTAATAGGATGGTGGTAGCCGTTATGGAAGTGCCTACAGTCAGTGGTATCAGTATGAGATAAACAAAGATCATTTGGAGTTAAAGGAGAGTGAATGGTGGGGAGTCTGAAGTAGCCTTGTGCTCTTTAGACAGGGATAAAGGAAGACCATCTAAGGAAGTTCTGGAATGAGGTTTATAGAAACCCACAACTTGGTTAGAGTCTAGAACACCAGACTCTAAGAACAATAATATGATAAAAAATAAAGTCACAGCTTCTGAGGAAACGTGGTAAAGCTGATTTCCATCACAGTTACAAGGGCAGGAGAATCAAAGTAAGGAAATAAACTCTGAAACTAAAGTATGCAGGGATTGAGCAAAGAAAGAAAAACACACTTTTTTAAAAACCTGAGTAAAGAGAGAGAGAGAAGCAGCACTTTTCTTTGCTTGTAAACTAATTTATTGAATTGGCTTAAATTTATTCTTGCCAAACACTTGATTAATCTTGGAGTTCTCCCCTCAGAAAAAATTATAAGTTAGCATGCCACGGAATCAATCCAATCGCTCTTCAGAAATCCAGATTTGGCCCACAGCCTCGGGCTTGGGCTTTCACAGAGCTGGATGCGGGAGCTTTCAAACTGGCCTCCTACGTGCGATGAGTCAGACTACAGTGTGAGAGGCAGAGTCCTGGGGCCTGGCTCCTCAGGAAACTGTTATTCCATCGTGTATAAGGTTTATTTTTGTTCTCCTACTTAATCACTCTGAATTACAGCTTTTACTTTAAACTAATTTGGAAATGTGTCAAATATAATATTTTGTGGTCTACTTTCATATAATTGACATTGTCAAATATTTTTCTTTAATTTTATTGCCAGCACATTAATCAGTTTTATGGATGCTCTATAATTTACCTAACTCATTTTTTGTTGTGAAGGTAGATTGTTTTAAATATATCATGAAAATAATAATATAAAAATGGACGTAAGAGCCCTGGCCCCTGTTTCTCAGTGGTTAGAGCGTCAGCCTGTGTACTGAAGGGTTTTGGGTTCGATTCTGGTCAAGGGCACATACCTGGGTTGCAGGTTTGAACCTGGCCCCAGTTGGAACTTATGCAGGAGGCAACTAATCAATGTGTCTCTCTCATATCTCTCTCTCTCTCTCTCCTTCCCTCCCACCTTCCCTCCATTCCACTCTCTCTAAAAATCAATGGAAAATAGCCTCAAGTGAGGATTAAATTTAAAAAAATAGACATGGCAATTATAAATAT